GCGCGTGGGTCGTCTTCCTCCTCCTCCTCCTCCTCCTCCTCCTCCCTTCCGTGAGATGTGTTTTCAACTTCGCTTGCATGTACGTATTACTCAGATCAATGGTTCCCACGTGTTTCGATAAGACGACCTCGCCGCAACTTTTTTTTTAACCCTCGCCTCTCTACCCTACGGCTCCGCTCTTGACGAACTTGATTCGAAAAATTCGATTGGAGGAGGAGGAGGAGGAGGAGGATCGTAGATATATATACGACGCGTTTCTAGAAATTTCGAGTGCAAATTTTTTCTTCTTTCTTTCCTTCTTCCGACGAGATTACTTACTTTTCGCCGGATATAGGAGAGAGAGGGGAATATATATTCATATTCATCGCGAAGCGTAGCTTTATAAATATTATATGGCGGTGAATCACTCCGAAACGCGTACGTTTCACCGGCTTTTCCGTCGCGCTTAAAATTTTAATCTCGGGCTAAATCTCGCCGCGATTCTCGCCGGTGACGGTGAAATTCGCTGTTCATTGCTCGAAATGGCTTACCGGATTACCGGTATAAATCTTTGCGATTTACATTTAAGTTCTGGTAAAGCAAACGAGTTCCGGTTCGCCCGAATGGTGAATATTAACCTTGATAATTGTAATAGGCTCGCTCGAGAAAAAAAACACCTCCGTTCAAGCTCGAACATCCTCTCTACTCACCACCCTGAGCGAGAAGATGAAGATTTCCAAACTTCGATTTCGAAACTCTACGTCGATACATTTTCTTTCCTCTTCACCCTTTACAAAAAAATATAGAAAGAAAAGATTGCTTCGATTCGTGAAATTTATACATCGCGAAAGAATTCCACGTGTGTAGGCAAAAAATAGAAGAGAACAGAGATTGGACGTCGCGGGACAGTAATATCCCATTGAGCCCGATCCGAGTGCGTGGCACGACTCGAGCGAGTCGTAATAAAAGTGAGCACGCGGAGGTTTCAACGAATGCAAAACGAATGCTGGTTAACCGGTCGTTAAGCGGACGTCGCCGAAGCAACAAGGTGTGACGCGATCGGTGGATTTGTGGGGAACACATTCGCGCGCAACACCGATAACCCTCGGCTCGAGCGTGCATCACCGCTCGTGTGCATACAGTTATAATTGCCGCGATTCCAAGACACGGTTGCGAGTGCGAGTCTACGATTACCCATTACCCGGATGAATATCTCGGATTACGGCACGCCGGCTAAATAAATTACCAAACCATCTCTCTTTCTCTCTTTCTTCTTGGTCACACCCCTCTCCTCTCCTCTCCTCTCCTCTCCTCTCCTCCCGGTACACACGCCGGTTTGCATATTAACAACGCAGTAATAAGTGTGTACCGGTATAAATCTCGGTCGTGATCCTCCATCTGTGACTTTTTTTTTTTTTTTTTTTGCAAATTTTCCACGTTTAATCGGTTATTTATTTAACGTTTCAGGTTGGTCGTGTCATTATTTTTGATCAATGATACGGTCGCCAGAAATGCGACGAAGAAGATTAGAGACAAATCCAGCTTTTGTTGGTCTAGCTTTTGTTTTTTTGGAAAATTCTCTTTAAAGTAAGTTACATTTACTTATTTCATGAAGAAATGATTTTGATTGCGTTTTCTAAACGGCACTAAAATTCAAAATTTCCTCTTTAATTTCATAGATTTATTCAACACGAAGTTCGACGAGAGATCCGTCATCGCTTCTTCGAAGAAGAAGTGTTGCCGGGGAAGAAGACTCGAGGAAAAAAGGGGAGGGAAAGGAAGGATTCTCGATCTCCGAGCATTACCTTTACAAACGCGCTCGTTCTCTTCTAGCCCGGAATGGAAGGGGGAAGGCACGCGGCTGGGGCCAATTTATGCGCCGCGGCGCGCGTAAATTTTGCGCGCGGCTGTACTTTTGCGATCCCCGTGGTCCCCGTGTACGTGAAGCTAGTTATACGGTAACGTTCGCCTCGTTATGAAAGGTTTATTAATTCGAGCTCCCCCTTCCATCGTCCGCTCTCCTCTCTCGCCCCTCGACGGGACGACTCGCCGGCGAGTGGTGGTGGGGAGAGGAGGGCACCGTCGGGAAGGCGAAATTTGCCACGAAGCGTTCGAGGACACGTACGCGCGTTCCTTCGCGCGGGGAACTCCGTCTAAAGACGGAGTGAATGCGGCGGCTGATGAACGATTCGATTCGAAAATCACGGGCCCGTTTTGTCTACCGATTCGATCGAGTGTAATTGAAACAAAGAAACAATTTCAAAAAATTATTCAGATTATTGGACAAATTATTAAAAATATCGCGGTATAATAATTCTAAAAAATAAGGAGCGATCGTTTTCAATAGAATTTGTTTTAGAAATATTACGATTATTAATTTAATATAAATTATCCCCATCTTGTCCTGTATTTATGAGCAAGCATTTATCGGCTGTTTATCGACCGTTTAAATTATGATCAAATATCCTTACACGTCCTCTGTGCTTACTAATCGGGGCAAATTAACCCTGATACCAGCAAGTTAACGGATAATTAACGGATATTTCAACTATCAACAGGACAGATCAAGTCAAACATTATTACGAACGAAAATCAAATCGGTATATACATCGATTTCCGGTTCGCCGTAACCTCCTCCCTGATCCACGGAGGGGGTTTCGATCGTGCACACGATCCTCCCCTCTCCTTCTCTCTTGGATCCGAACTCGGACAAGATACAATGACTTTTTTATCGAACGGCCGTAATCTTTAGTGGAAACAAAACCTTTCCTCGCTTGAGATTTATCGGCCGCTGTCCGCTCAACACACTAACCGGCGCGCAGCGTAGAGATAACTTTCTCCCTCGTGATAAGCCGTAAGGTATAAATCTGAATTGTTTTTATAATTCCCGTGGAAGAGATGAGGTATCGAGATAACGGGGGATTCTAACGAAGTCTGTAATTTGCAGGCCGCCAGCGAAGCGCGATCCACCGCGAGAGTTGGCGGCCCACCGCGAGATGGATCACGATTTAAACCAATCGACGACGCTCGATAAACCCGAGGAAAAAGGAACGCCATCCTCGTTGCAATTGGTAGTAGTTCGTTCGCCTATCGATCCCCTTAATTAAGCGACTAAGAATCGAACGCCCCTATGGATTCATTTATACATTTTTGCCATTTCCTCTGTAATTGACACGCATATTCGATGCTTTACAATTTTCGAAACGAAAGAAGAAGAGATTGAGATTTTAGAATTCGATATATTTTAAGAGTGTCTAATTCTAGTCTGCAATCTATTAATCTATTAAGTGGAACGTTTCGAAAGAATTAGATTGCTTGAAATATAAATATATTGCAAAACTGAGGATTTTTTTTTTTTTGTTAAATTTATATTCGTGGAATATTGTCACTCGTCGTACGATTACGTATGTGAAATCGTATTCGATGGAAGAAAGATATTTGTCAGTACGGAGAGAAAGGATTTCGCGTTACGAGTTGACATTTTAAAGTCAGAGCGTGTTTTTTTTAAGAATGTGCTGCTATTTTCTCGCAATGGTAACAATGTATCAATGGACAGGTTGCGTCAGTGGCCCTCATATTTCCGATGATTTATATCCGGAGACGCGTAATTGGACGCCGCTGTTCAACTTCCTACATGCTGCGCAACGCTCGCATTCAATATAGATCATCCGCAATTGCAGCTAGTAACATTTCCGCATTTTCTCACTCGCGATGCTTCGATGAACACGGGTCGAAAACTTGATAACTTGGGATTAAATATCGAATCTAAAAATATTTTTCACGATATTTAATAATAGATAAATATTTCGAGAATGCTTGAATAAAGAATAAAAATCTATAGATATAAGAATACAATGGGTAGTATTTTAATCTCCGTAGAATCGTTTTTAATTAATGTACACGATATTCTTCGAACGAATTAATATTGTTCGCATTAGTCGATACATTAAGCAACAAAAAAGACAGTATATAAATATATTTAAAATACATTAAATAAAATAAATAAAATATGGATTAAGTATAATATAGATTAAGTAAGATATGAAAGTAATAATAAAAAAAAATACCCAGATTAATAATACGCATCCTCGTTACGTTACTATCATCCACAATTCTAACAAACGTTAATATGAGTACATATCGTCGATACTATAAAGGTAAATAGTCAATACTGACGGATCAATAGTTGTGCAAATGATCCCATAATTACTCGTTCATCTCGAATAGCCTTAATTAGTATTTCTTTCTTATACGCATTTGCTTACTTGGCGCATACGCTTCAAGATCCTTCACGATCATTCGACACCAATGCAATCGCTTACTCATCAATTCTTCGAGCCAATGCGTAAGAAATCTTGATATCTCCTTTCTTCTTCGCGACGAGTATCAATTGATAATTTAAAACTATTTTCGAAGCATTATGTTTTTGCACGATTTAGTTCATGCGCTTCAAGATATTTTGATGATCCTTTTTTTTCTTTTTTTTTCTTTCTTTTCTTCTTCAGGTTTTCGCTTAGAAATTCCAGTTATCCAGATTTAAAATTGTGCACGTAATCATCTTTTTTTCTCGTCGGATGCCGCGTCATCAATTTCCTTGAATTATATTCCGTCGTGATTGTCATCTTTCTCGTTTTGTTTATTCATTGATATTCTCAAGAATAGATCGATCGTTGCGCGACAACGGATGATTTTTTTTTCGAAGATGAAAGAGCCATCCTTCTATCATAATATGCTCTTTTATGCTCGAACATTCTATTCGTGATCATTCTCTTTTTCTTAGTCAGTTTCATCAACGTTGTCTTTGTGTTTTTTCATGCTTCTTTTTTTAGCTATTTTTTCGGATAATTTCATCTTTTCGCAATGTCTGGTGACTCTTTATTTCTCTTTTCTCTTTATGCTTTTTCTTCGTATACTCGTAAATTATTTTTCCTCTTTTTTTTTTTTTTTTTCTAATTTCAAATATCCTTTTACACATTACTATCACCAGTTTCGATCGATCCTCTTCAGCTTGGCCCCCCAAACTAATCCTTCTTCTTTTTCCTTTTACCTTTCTCCTTCTCCTCTTCTTCTTTAACCACCTTTTTCGTTTCCTCCTCTTCCTCTTCGACCACCTTCTTCTCTTCCGTTTTTTCACCGACTTCATCCTTTCTCCCTTTTTCTTCCCTTTCAACCTTATCTCTCTTCCCTTTTGCATCAACTTTCTCCTTCGCTTTCTTCCCCTCCTCCTTAACCTCGATCGATTCACGAGCAACCTTATCTTTCACCTCCTCGGTCTCACCTCCTCCTCCTCCCTTCCTCGAACGATCGTCCCTCTCCTCCCCCCCGGAACCTCCCCTCTCGTCAACATTTGTCGAAGAACTCTCTTCTTTCGCGCTGGTTAACGAGTTTTTCTCAATTCCTTGGGAGGAATGACTCCAGCTTTTTGCGTCACCCGATCCCCCCCCGGGTCCCGTTGATACCGCGGGTCCATCCCAGCGTTTTCTCTCGCCGCCACCTGTTTTTGCATCAAACCCTTCCAAAGACGGCAGAGGAGCGGCCGAGTGAATAGCGCGTTTTTCGCCATCAATTTCTTTCGCGCCTTCTGTTGATTCCCGATAACCGACCCTCCGACCTCCTTCTTCCTTCACGCTCGCCTCCCTTGATCCGTATCGTTTCGAGTGGCCAGAATCACTTTTGTCCACGTCTACTTAGGAAAGTGTAATAGTTTTCTCCTTTCATTTGTCCGCCTCGTGAAAGATATATCAGATTCTCCCAAAACTTATTCCTTTTTTTTTTTTTTTTTTTTTTAGAATAGCGATCGAATCATAGCGTTCATTCGATGTTTTCGTTCTAGTTAACTTTTCAAAATAAGGGAAATCGAAGCATCAATGAAAAAATAAACTACATCGATAGGTATTTTTTTTTGAATTAGAATAAGAGTTTTTGGGAAAATCTAATATTTTCAACAGTTTTTTTAATTTAATTTTCTAACGCGTTTTACCTGCTGGTTTTTCTCTGTTTGGGAAAAAAGGTAATCCTATCCCTGGAAAATATAAAATACTATGAAAAATTGATTTTATCTTTCGCACCCTATCGGTTTCATCGGTTGCGCTTTTACTATATTTTTATTGTATTATCCTATTTTTTTTTCTTGTTGTTGTTGTTGTTTCACTCTACAGAGGATTAATAATTTGTGTTCGTGTTACCGATGCGTTTTTTTTATTGGTTTTTCAAATATTCAGGTTTACCTACAGTTTGTAAAATATTTACCAAATATTTTATAAAAAAAAGGAAAAAATATCGTGCATAAATATTTACCAATTATATACGAATTACCTTTTTGAACGTTGCTCGCGATACCTTCTATCGCTTTTCCAATTGTGCCGATAACGTTTGAGATCATCGAGGCGAATATATTATCCTTGCCAAAAATTTTCTCTAACGGGGACGTCGCGACACGCTCGCCTTTTTTTTTTTTTAAATTAAACAAAATTAAACGTCATCAAATTTTTATCCGATAAAGAGGCAAACGACAAGAAACAAATCGAACATCGATTCTATCGCGGTTAATTAATTTGAATTTTTAAAAGTTAAATCAAATTCAACAATACAATCTATTACCGTTATCCTCTTTCTGTGCATCGAGCTTCTTCGAATCTTCCGCCTTCCCGTTCAAAAATTGAAATGGAAAAATTTTATTGCTCCACGCTGTTACGCTTTCGAATAATCCCAACGGTTCCCTCTGCCCCACTATCTTTGCCTCCTCCTATTAATCGTCAAAGATGTACAAATCTAATTATAAATTCACGAGTTGAAATTTCGTAGTTATAAATTGTGCTATCTAAAAATTTAGATATACCGATTTCTCATTGATTCCTGGATACCCGATCACCCACGGCACCGATGTCACCAGTAGTAATATCGCGGCTACGTTCATCTTCCTCGTTGTCTCGACTACGATGGCCACCGAGTATCGATTATATATATATATATATATATACTCGGTTTGACAATTGCAAAAACATCTCGTTATATATGGGAGCGTATAGCAAGAGTATAAATTATGGCTTCCTGAAACCTGGTTTGCCGGGTTTTTACGATAACAGTGTTTAATATGCTTATCGTGTTGCTCATTGGCGCAAATCAATTTTCAGGCTTGACATTCGAGGGCATGTTCGTTTCGAGCAATCGTGCGTTACAGATGCTATACCCTCTATGCGCTATGTTTTCGCGTATTTGTATTGTTAATTAAGTGGAATGGTTCGATAAAACGAATGGGTTTAATCGTTCCGTTTCGTGTTAATGATATGATAAACATATGATAACGTTCACGAAGTAATAATTGCAAATTTGATATTGGAATAATCCAGCAGATAGTAGAAGGTAAACGTAGAATAATTTTAATTTAAAACCATTCTGTGCTTTTAAATTTATTTGACACTTTTAAAAACTGTCTCTTTTCTTCTTCTTCTTTTTTCTTTATCAGAAAATTCCAGACTTCTCGCAACAAATAATAAAGAGTCGTTCTCCGAAATAAAACACAAACTGGTAGGCGAGGCTCATCCCCAGCACGATGTCGCCCATGATCTTAGAATATTACCTATTTTCCGCTCGGCTGCGCCGGATGAACCAACACGCTTCTCTTCCTCTTTTCACTCTTCCTTCCGTGCTCTCCTTCTCGTGCCTCGCACTGTCTTCATCATCGAAGAAAAAAAAAGCAGGGCAAGGGGAGGAAATTTGTTTCGTTACGCGCCAGCCCGATGTTCTTCCATCCGCCGTCCATCCCCATCCGTCGAGGGGAAAAATTTAAAAATTTTTCGACGATACGAACGTGAACTCGAACTGATATTCGACTCACGTCCCGGTTTCCTTCCCATCGATTCATCGCACTTCCCACAGCAATTTCTCCGTGTCGAGAGTGAAACGTTTCTCCATAAAACCGCCATCTTCCTCAGCGTCTCGGAGGGCGCCACCGCCGCAGCGGAGGGAACATTTTTCGCCGAGATACCCGGTTAAATCAGATCTAATGCGTTTAGATACCGATCGAAATGAAATTTCAGCGAAAGCTCGAGCAGCAAAACGTAGGTAATCGCGTTAAGCCGAAAGTGGCGGTTCCTCCTTCTCAAGCGGGTCCGCTGTTTCGTTGCGAACGAAGAATCTCGATCGGTAATTTAATAGCCAGGTAAACGAGGTAAGGGAAAAGAAAAAAAAAAAAAAAAAAGAAAAGAAAAGAAAAAAGAAAAATTAGTCTTCGAAGCGGGGTGTTTTAGCGTTCGCCAAGGCGGATAGCGGAGGAGGGTAGGATAAAAAGCTCACGATGAAAGCTGCTGCTGCTGCGGCCAAGATAATAAGGTAGCGATCGGTTACCACGTCGAAGCGAAATTGCGAGCGATGCCGTAGATGCGATCGGTCGATAATAAAGCAACTACTCTCCCCTAACGAGTAAATAATCTTTTCGATGAAAGTCGATTGAGTTGTTTCGAGATATTAAACCCCCTCTCGAGAGGATACGAGACGATAATACACCCCCTTTTTTTCTTCTTTTCCTCAAACGAACCGTCAATCCTTAATCAACAAAATATAAATAAAGTTTCGGATCGAACGTTTAGAACGGTGTTCAGTCATATTAACGATCGTTGAAACATTAATTCGATTTCAAGAGGAGATAAGCTCGAGGTTCGTAGGAACCATCGATCGAACTTCTCATCACGATATAGTTATTCAACGCGATTAGAGCAGCACATGAATCGTCTTAATATCGATCTTCGGGAGTCAATGCGTCATTAACGTTTACAGAACTCGAAATGGCGAAATCTTGTTCGCCACAATGGCGAATTTATCGCGGGGAGGAATTTCGCTGAAATTTCGTTTGCCTCCGATTATATCTTTCATGTCTCGCATGCGCTTCGTGGCCAATTATATTTCAAGTTGCCGAGAGACGATCATTCAAAGATATAAATTATTATTATCGTACAATGTATTGAGATAGATATTCCAATTGGGATACATATTTGCGTTGCACGAGTGTATTTATTGAATTTTTCGAGGAACGTTACGTTTCGTCTGTGGATTGTATTTTATTATAAGGAGGTGAAAGATATTAAACTTATTTTCCGTTTTTGTTTAGAAATTTGCGTAATTATCTAACAATAAGAGGATAATAATGCAAATTTTGATACGTTTTTTTCTTTCCAATGGATTTTTTTATCGTTTTATCGTCGTATCGAAAAAGCAATTCTTTTTTTTTTTTTTTTTTAAAATTGATATAAATCAATAGAATCTGTAATTGATTCGTGTGAACACTGCGAAATATCCCTATATAGGGAAAAATAAACGTTATTTATTTGCCGTCCCCGATTTTTCGCCGATGAGATAATATTATGAAATATCGTTTTACGATTTATTTGCGCTTTCGAGAGGGAAATTTCTGTTTCACGTTTTGTGCTAGATTTTTATTATGTTAACGTTTCATTTTTTTTTTTTTTTTGTAAAGTGAAAATTTAATCCAAAGCGAGATTGAATTCCTGCGTGTATGTACGTAATAGATAGAGAAAAAAAGAAAATAGCATTTGCATATTATATCAGTTATGCTGTAATGATAATGATTAAGTAAAATTATCAAGTAAATTGAATTCATTCATTTACAAATTTCGTTCATAATTTGCATTGTTCACTTGTTTGATAATATCTATTATAATTATTCACGTGCTGGATGTTCATTGTAATACGGGTGAAAATACAACTTGATGACACATGACACGTCTTTCACGATTTTATATTAGCAAGAAACGTGTTAAAAGTACTGATTCTTATGGATATCACGCACCATTCTCTTCTTCTTCTTCTTCTTCTTCTCTTTTTTATTATCCGTGATAGAACGTAAAGACATGCTGGAAAATTTCTTAAGGGAAAAATTCGTTTTTTGAAAAAATCATTTTTTTAAAAAAATCTGTAGATCGAGTAATTAATTACATCCAATCTTGAAACAACTTTTGATCATCATCCAACATATAACGTTGTAGACGTTTAAGTAGAGTATTTTTACACTCGATTGGCATAAAAAAAAAGGAAAAAAGTAACTTGTTATAAATTTTAACATAAAATAATTCAAGGAAATTACGGGCCCCTTTTGACAAATTAATCGACCGCAAACTCGACGATTTTTCTTTTGTCAACGCTGGATGGAACTATCTAAAATCTTGGAATTTTACAAGCTTTTGCAAAGTTTCGTGCAAAATAGGAATCGTTGCTAGATAAAAAATAATTAGATCGTATTCGAGCGTGAAAAAAAGCTAGCTCCCTGCTTGCACCGCGTTGAAGAAATTCCTTTCGATGATTCGTATGCAAAGTGATGCGTTTCAGTCTTCCGGATGGAACGAGATCTTTCGTGGAAATTAATATAGCGAGCGATAAGCCGTGCAGAAGAAAGGAGAAAAAAAATTCTCCCTCTCGTCGATTTGCATATACTTTCATCGCAAATTAACCCTTCTGCTACCAGTATCGAATAATAATTTCAATATTCGAAACTGTTCGAATTAAATTGTCCGCGCAATGGACAAATATTGTAATGAAATGAATTAAAAAAAAGAAAAAAAAGTGAAGAAGATAAATCGAAAAATGAAGAATTGAGGAAGAAAGTTTTAAAGTAATAAAATAAAAGTAACAAATAAATAATATCGATGTTGAGATGTATAATAAGAAATAAAATCGTGTCTACGTGTCACAATAATCACAGAGAATCTTGCAAGAAGTATTTACATAGCTGGTGTTCCTTAGAAGATATTTCGATTATCTTCTTCATGTCGAATTGGAAATATTGTTGAGAAAAATACGTATTAAGAAGAATTTCAAGCGTATCGGACAACGAGACGTATCATCCGAGAAACGAGAAAGCAAAAGTCCCGTGTAATTTCTTCCCGTGACGCGGAGAAAATTAATTTCGCGCGAAAACGCCCGTTTTGACGCAAATGAATTTTTCGTATGATGAATTACTGGTTTACGATCGATGGAATGTGGATAGGAGACGCGTAGCGTCTGGAAAGGTGTTGCAAAATCGTCTCGTCATCGAACACCTGGGATAACATTATGAGTGTCGAGCAATTAAAGGCTGACAAACAGACATCGTTTTACAGCATTAACATAAAATGTTAATTCAAACGTTATAATTGAGGGATCCAGGGAGGGAAAGCTGTGTTGCATACGTATAAATTGCATAATCTTTCGTTCGAGAAATTTGTTTTAATTGAAATTAAAATTAAAATTAAATGATTCGATAATTAACTCTGCCTGTTCTTAAGCGTTTTTTCCCTTTTTCTTTTTTAATTTTTATTTTATCGTAAAAACTTGGAAAGTTCGTATCTACCCATCTGTGCAGATAAATATACGTTTTAACACGTTGAATTCCTCGACGAAATCGATCATTTCCTTGTTCCGTTGAACAAAGAAAAAGAATTGAAATTTTCCCGATCGGATAAAAATTCTCTGAATCGAAATAAAGTATAAAGATAAAGAAGATATATCGGCAATAAATTTTTAAATAGATTCAACAGATGCGGGCCACTTTTTTCTCCTCTTTCTTTTTTTCCATTCCAGACACGCTCGCAGAAGATGTCTCTCGTATCGGGCAAAAGGATCTCGCGATAAAATGTTCTTTTTGTCGTATAAAACAAGCAATATGGCGCGTTTTTAGGGCGCGACATAAAGATTCTATCGCGGCTCCTTACTTCCACGCTATCAAGATCCAAAAATTTTCTCTTGGCGGCATCGCGAAGTCGAGCCGGCAATTATGGCGAATTTCGGTGGGAACCATCTCGAAAAAATTATTGAAACAACCGTTGAATACCTACAACGAAAGAACCTTCGATCTTTTAAATTCGATCTTTTAAATGTCTATTTTCCCTCCCTCTTTCTCTTAACATTTTATTCTCTCGTACATTC